AGAAAAAAGAGAAGGGAAGGGAAGGGAATGGAAGGGGAGGGGAGGGGAGGGAAGGGGAGAGGAGAGAGAAGAAAAAGGAAACAGAAGACAAGAAGGCAAGAGAAAAGAGGAGAGAGGAGAGGGGAGGGCAGGGGAGAGGAGAGGAGATGGAAAACAAGACGAGAAGATGAGAAAAAGAGAAGAGAAAGAAGACGAGAAAAGAAGACAAGACAAGAGAGAAGACTAGAAGACAGAAAAAGACAAGAGAGAAGAATATAATTAACTGCAAGGGGCTTCTCAAGGGATTAGGGCTTAAGCAGTTTTTAATGGCAATACCACCTTTCTGTTCCTCATCACAAGGAACTGGGAGCGTTCGTGGGTGGGAAAAGTGTGCAGAGCACCAGCCTCAAACTGTGTCCATATGGAGACAGGGGCCATGAAGCTCAGATGGAGTTTGTCTTCCAAGTACTCTGACAGTTCTATTTGCCTTTTCCAGGAGAGCACTCAGATCAAGGCAGCCATAGGACATGCTTCCATTTCAGAGCATTCGCTGGAATGACAACCTACACTCTCTCCATGTCATCTCTTACATCAAGTCTGCACATTCTTCAAAGCTGGAACTCTTCCAGCTTAGACCTTACTTTTTGAAGCTGATCAGTTTAAACCACAAAATACACCCAAGCCTTTTCTTGTTTCCCCATTCCAACAATCAGCACAAACCCATCAGTTCTGAAACAAATTGAATTTTATTCTTTGCAAATGTTTGCAAGCAACAAGATTTTTCTGAAAAGTTGTCTCAAAAGGCAGACAGAGGAAGAGTTACAGTGGAGAACGTGCTACCCTTTCCACAGCTCTTACAGGGCAATTAAACAAAGGTGACAAAACAATGAAAGGAACAAAATGAACTGCAGCACATACAAAAATAGCATTATCAAAAAACAAACAGTAGAGTATTTGAACATGTCTTAGACCCAGTGTGCAAGTGTCCTATGTGGTTCTACCTATTCACCAAAACTCATCTAAAATATAGGAAAACTTGCAATATTACAGGCTGATTGTATGACATCTTTATGCTATTGTGATGATGGCTGGAAAATGACCAGTTCTATGCTACATGTCCCTCTCTCAGACCCAATGCAGACATGGCTGCACAGCCAGGACAACAACCCTGCAACTGCCTAATTCCTCATGGAATCCTCAGAGAGCTCAAGGCAGAAGGACGAAGATTACAGTGTGAGAGAAAACTTACCCGTTCCGCAGTAGCCAGCAAGTCAATCAGATTAATGCATGAAGCTACAGGCCAACCAATGAATGCAGTAAATACAGTAACTTATCATAAAATGTCATTTCCTTTGTATTCAGCTCTCAAAAGCTTATGATGACCATATTTGTCAATAACAATTTTTCACAATCCCAATCTAGTAGTTTTCTCCCCAAAAGAGAGGGAAAAAAAAAGTGCGCAAACTAATAACCACTGTATAGAACCCTCCATGACTCCACATCCACC